TTTGTGCTTGCACGCAGCAACAGGTAGAAGAGATTACGAGCACTGCAACACCATGGTACTCGTGCTTATATCCTTCTCCCTCATGCTCTCCATTCACTCATATTTCGCTCCCACGTGCATTCTATTCCCCCCTCACATCCTTCCTCACAAAACTATCAATCCCTCACGCCCACCTCACTTCTCTGTTAATGCTCTTCCCTTACACCAACTCCCCCCCCCCCCCACGCCTTCTCTACCACCTCCCTAGCAGCGCCCCATCTCCTCCCCCGTGTCCGGTGGGGGCGCACCAAAGAGATCACCTCTTGATAATCAGTGGTTTATCTGCCTGCGAGATTTCACTTATAGACGCCACCTCACTCTTTCTCTTAATGGCCCCATGCTTTATGGACGGTGTGTGCGTGTGTGTGTGTATTCACCTAGTTGTATTCACCTAGTTATTCTTGAGGGGGTTGAGCTCTGCTCTTTCGGCCCGCCTCTCAATCGTCAGTTAATCAACTGTAACTAACTACTAATTTTTTTTTCTACACACTCACCCCAGGAAGCAGCTCCGTAAAAACTGTCTAACTCCTAGGTACCTATTTACTGCTAGGTGAACAGGTGCATAAGGGTGAAAGAAACTCTGCCAATTTGTCTCTGCCTAGTCCGGGAATCGAGCCCGGGCCACGGATTACGAGTCCCGCGTGCTGTCCGCTCAGCTACCAGACCCTGTGTGTGTGTTTGTGTGTGTGTACTCACCTAGTTGTGTTTGCGGGGGTTGAGCTCTGGCTATTTGGTCGAGTGTGTGTGTATGTGTGTGTGTGTGTGTGTACTCACCTATTTGTACCTGTCTATTTTTGCTTGCGGGGGTTGAGCGTTGGCTCTTTCGGCCCGCCTCTCAACTCTCAATCAATTGTTTACAAGCTTCAAAAGATTGTCATTTGCTTAGCTAGACGAACTGTGAGGTTCAGTTCCCTGAACCGCTTATGTGTCTCTGTAACCCTTTCTCCCACCGCCCACAGGATGGGTATGGGGTGCATAATAAAGAAAGAAATTTAATTGAATTGCCAAACTCTTTCATTCCGTCTTTCTCTTCCTTCCTCCCTCTCTCTCTTTTTTCCTTTTCCCCTATCTCCCTCCTTCCCTCTTACTCTCTTCCTTTCCACCAGCTAATTTCTTTCCTTGCATTTCCCCCCCTCTATTCTCTTCCGCCCTCCCACCTGCCTCTCCCTTCCCACTTTTGTCTTCCCTACCCCTTCTGTTCCTCCCGTTTTCCCTTTCTTACTTTCTTCAAATAGTTCATGATTCCCTTCCATCAAGCTTCTTCCTTTTCTTTATCATACCATCCAATTAGTTCTTTTCTCACTCCCTCCCTCTCTTTCTCCCTCCCTCTCTCACTCCATTCCCTCCTTCCCTCTCCCACTCCTTTCCCTCCTCCTTCCTTCCCTCCAGCTGCCTGAGTGACCAGCAGGACCCTTCCAGACCAGTATGGGTGATCACTAATAATCTATCCCTCATGGCTCTCTGTTTGATGTCACTGACAGACACTAAGACAGAGAACCTGTCAGATAAGTAGAAAGGTAAATAGAAAGTCAAGAAGAAATGTTAATTTATAGGAAGATATGGGGAAAAATAAATGGTAGGCGGAACAAGCAAATAAGATGGAGGCCAGATTGATATTTAGGCTTATTTGAATGCACATATTTGCTTACATACGCTCGCCATTTCAACATACACACCATCGCATATATATATACACATATATATACGTAAGCATGACATGCTTTCCTGCGTGTAGCTTGATAAACCACTACAGGAAAATAGTGGGGAACGCTGTTTTCGTTGTATTCTAAATGTTTGTAATAAGCCAATATTGAACTGCATTCTACTGACATATGCGTTATTTTATAAAGAAAACGTTTCTAAAGATATTTTCTTTATATGGAATAACTATGATAAACATTTATCAGGTCCATATTGAATTTAGCAAATATACTGTTGCCACTAAATTTTGTGTTAGTCCTGTACCTGAACATTATAGGTTGTGGGTACATTACTGTAGTGGATACAGTACTGAAGTGGATACAGTACTGTAGTGGATACAGTAATGTAGTGGATAGAGCTTTATGTCACTCCAGCAACATAGGGATATGGGAAGGTTTTAGTGTTTCATATGATGGGTGTTGTTGTTTTAGATTTAGCTACTTAGAAAGAAATGTCCATGTAGCACGGGCTATGGTGAGCCCGTAATTGAGTTCGGTAATTCGCGATTACCTTGTTACTCTGATATTTGGGTCAAAGTATAAAATGGCAGTGGGGATTTCATCCTTTTTCACCTGTTTCTTTTTCGCTTCTGTTTTAGTCTTGTTTTAATAACATTATCTTGATGGCGGATGTAGGTGTAGAATGTTCACTAGTGAGTCCCATTCTTTTACGGCTTTTCTAATCATTGTAGTCGCTGTGGCATGTGCATCTAATGCAGCTGCTGTCGTTGGATTAATGTTGAGTCTGGAAGTCGAACCCATTATTTTTTACTTAACCCAAAGGTTAAATTTTAAAGCCAATAATCTCCTATAAGATCCCATAGGAATCCCATAAGGACCCACAACAGATCTCATGAGCGTATGCTTAAGCACTACAAGAATCTCTTAATATCCCTTAGCAGTCTCCTATGATAACATAGGAGCCCCTTAAAATCCTATAGGAGTCCCCAAAGATCCGATAAATTTCCTATAAGATCACCTAAAAATTCCATAAGAGTCCAATAGGAATTCTTAAGATTCCAAAGGAGTCTCCAAAGGTCCCATAAGATCCCCCGAAGAGTACCCTCACGTGGGCTGCCTCATCCAGGTGCTTCCTCTTTATTCCTCCCCACCCTTTTACTCCCCATGTGGCCTCCCCCCCCCCCATAACACCTTACCTGGCCTCTCCTACCCAACATACCACCTGCTGGCGGAGAAAGAGGTGGGCCAGGTCACGGAGGGTCACCCTATATGACCTTGCAGGTGGGCGATAAACAGCAGATAATCAGGAGCCAGCCCCGGACGCTCCCTGGCGCGCCCTCCTCCTGATAAGAGAGTGGGAACAACAGCAGGAGGAGATGGAATAAAGGAGATGGACGAGAACTAAATGGGAGAAAGAGGGAATAAGGAGCGGAAGGAGGTGGGAGGAATTTAGAAAAGAAGGAAGCATGACAAAAACGTGTAGAATGGAAGGGAATAGGAGGAAGATTGATTTCATTTTATGGACTATCACTCCATGGGTCACACTTATCAAATGCCTATTTGCAAAGACTCTGTATTCAACGTCTGCATTTTCAGCGTCTGCACTCAAACAAACAGGAGATTGGTAAGAGGCAATGAGCTCAAAAATGAGGTGCTTGATCACCTTTTATTAGCTCAAAAATGAGGTGCTTGATCACCTTTTATTAGCTCAAAAATGAGGTGCTTGATCACCTTTTATTATCTCAAAAATGAGGTGCTTGAACACCTTTTATTAGCTCAAAAATGAGGTGCTTGATCACCTTTTATTAGCTCAAAAATGAGGTGCTTGATCACCTTTTATTAGCTCAAAAATGAGGTGCTTGATCACCTTTTATTATCTCAAAAATGAGGTGCTTGAACACCTTTTATTAGCTCAAAAATGAGGTGCTTGAACACCTTTTATTAGTTCAAAAATGAGGTGCTTGATCACCTTTACATCATTCCCATTCACCTCAACTTCGGGTATATATCTTACAGCAAGTAGCTTTGCAACCATTCGAACTCTGCCCTTTAATAATGTTAACAAGAGTTACCGAAACGTATCTCCTTATACCTCCCTTGAGGTGTTTGAGGGGCTTTAGAGGCCCGAAGGCTGTTGGACGCTGCTGCGAGCAGCCTGACGTATGAATCACAGCCTGGTTGATCAGGTATCATTTGGAGGTGTTTGTCAAGTTCTCTCTTGAACACTGTGAGGGGGTCGGCCAGTTATGCCCCTACTGTGTCGTGGAAGCGTGTTGAACAGTCTCTGGCCTCAGATGTTTTTTTTTTTTTGATGTTGATAGAGTTCTCTCTCAGAGTACCTGTTGCTCCTCTGCTCTTCAACGGGGGTATTCTGCACATCCTGCCATGCCTTCTGGTCTCATGTGGTGTTATTTCTGAGTGCAGGTTTGGGACCAGCCCTTCTACAATTTTCCATGTGTAAATTATTATGTATCTCTCCCGCCTGCGCTCAAGAGAATACATATTTAGGCATTTTAATCGGTCCCAGTAGTTTAGATGTAGTAGCGTCAGGTCAAATAATATTTTAAAAATTAACTTTGAAGTTAGAGTTCATTTTTTCACCTTCTCTGGTGAAACTAAATGTATGAGAAATATTGAGAATTCGTGCTAGAACCATTGATCTCATCCTTTCTGTAACATTCAATAATATATGCCTATGTTTACAGGAAAGACTGTTATCAAAGTATAATTATATATATATATATAATATATATATTAAATATATTGTATATAGTATATATATTATATATATATATATATATATTATATATATATATATATATATATATATATATATATATATATATATATATATATATATATATATATATATATATATATATATATATATATATATATATATAATATATATATATATATATATATATATATATATATATATATATATATATATTATATATATATATATAATTTGTATTCGGGTTTCCTATCTTTACAACTCGCTGAAAAATTCAGGTGGATTTTTTTTTTAATTTATGTTCGTTCTGCTTATGGCTTTCCTAGACATTTCTCTGATATTCAGACCAGCGAGGCGCGGCCACTTTCTCTAGGCAGATACCACAAAGACATCTTAGATCATCATTCATAGATGGAAGATTGATGAACGAGAGATGATGGCGAGATGGAGGGGAGATAGTCTGGGGAGCTGAGAGATAACTGGGGAGGAGATAAGGGCGTAAAGGGAAGAGGGAGGTGGGGGGGAGGAGGAGATAAGGGGAGAGTGATAAAGATAGTGCAGTGGGTGGCGTGTGGTGATGAGTGATGGTGTGTTGAGTCTCCTCCCGCCCATCTCAGCTTCGTAAGTGACGACGCCAGTCGAGTAGCGAGATATAAGGAGACGAGGAAACTACCTTATTCTGATTTTAAGTACATAGGACTGTTGACTGTCGTGTGATTCCTTCAGCGGAAGGTCTGACGTGGACCTTCACACAAGCTGCTATGTTGAAGTTACTCCAGACTTCAAGTAAACAAGGTAAATTCTTATCTAGAAACTCAACAATCAAAACTTAATTTACATCTATTATGAATAACAACATAAAAAATATAATTCACAAAACACATACAAATTTAGTTAAGCTAAAACTCTTTTGGAGGAAAACTTATAATCGTTTATCTTTAACCTCGACGTGTTATTGGGAAATCCCCTTTCAAATTATTAGTTTTGGGAGAAACATCTTTAAGATGACCATATTTCCTCGGATTTTTTTTTTTTTTTTGGAGGGAGGGGGTGAAGCTGGTAAAGCCATCCATTGCATTCGTAGAAACGTCTAGCAAAGGTTAGAAAGATCTTCCCCTTTTTATGACTGAGCCACACTCACCCCTCTTTCCCCAATCCCCTGATCTTCCTCTTTTTAAACCAGAGCCACACTTTCCCCTCCTCCTCTCACCCCAAAACATTATCCAGCTAGCGTAGCGACACCCTGCATTAAAATACCCCTTACGCCTAGTACCTAACCTTCTTGAAATTTACAAATACTAAACTTTCCCCTTCTCCACATTTCCCATAATGGGAAACTGTCCTGTTGTCTTGAAAGTTCCTCGTAATTCTAGTGGAAACTTTACCGGAATTAAATTCCTTCTCTAAACTTCTTCCCGTTGTTGTTTGATCTTTTCCCCATCTCAGTGTATCTAGTTCTTGTCCGAGAGAGAGAGAGAGAGAGAGAGAGAGAGAGAGAGAGAGAGAGAGAGAGAGAGAGAGAGAGAGAGAGAGAGAGAAGGGAGGAGACGCAAGCGAGTGAGCATCACCAGATCCCACAAATGATACCATTGGCTTGGGCGGGCGGACCTAGAAGAGCATTACCATAAGTATGTCCAGCTTCTGCCGCCAAGGTGCCACCTGCATACGCTCATACACTCTTCGTATTCTCCTTCTTTCCCTACTCTATTTTCTTCTCTCTCTCTCTCTCTCTCTCTCTCTCTCTGCCTATCTTAACTACCATCCGCTGCCTCAACCCGTTCTAGCTCAGTCTCTCTTTCATTCCTTCCTTTCTACTCCCCTTTTTTTATCTTTCTCTTTATTCCAAACCATGTATATATTTACTATATATATATTAAGACCTATCAACCATGTATGCTCTATTACAGCCACTAATGACCAGCCAGCAAATATTCTTAAACCCTAAAAATAATTCAGATATAATATTTTCAGAAGTAAATATTTTCAAAAGTGCTTTGCTTTCCCTTTTTTTTTCTGTGTGATTATTTTGTCTTCGGTTGGACAAGATCACATGGCTTAATATCTCTGTATACAGTGGTAACAGATTCGTGTCTGATCCCATTCGTATTATCTGTTTTTCCTAGCTGTAGCCCACCACAATTCATTCATATCTGAATATACATATAGCAGTTTTATGTATAGATGTGCCTATGGTAGGAAAGGTTTCTAAACTTGGTTCTGCTGGCAAACAGTCCTCATTATTATTAACAATCTACACTGACAAAATATACAGTTTTGTCAAAGCTGAGTAATTCAAGTAGGTCTTATTACAGTGAGGTGCTGCTCATATTGACTGCCACACAGGACTGAGCATCATGCAATACCCGTCCTCAGGATGGTAGAGGTCATACTGGCACATAATCAGCTCGGAAACTGAAGTCTGTGACACCTGTCTAGTGGATATGTAATCATACTGGCATAGCACTTTCTTCTCTTAATTACCTTTCCTATTATTTGGCGTGGAAAAGCTGATTATTCTATTGTTGCTCATTGTACCTTTTCGTCTGTTTTATTGCACTGAAGTCAACACGTTTTTTATACTAATTTGCATTTCCGATTAATCGATTACTTTCCTCTCCATTTTTTTTGTTTTTCTATTTCCATTACGAAAGAGGCGTCGCCACAACTGAATCTGAGGTGTTTCATAGCGAACATTGTCTCAACAGATCACAGCTCATATCCGTGACATCACGCATTCCAGATATCATGGGCGCACCTCGATCCAATCAGGAAAGGTTCGAATCCTATCTCAACTTATCCGAAACCAATCGTGAAGATTCTCAGGTGTTTACTGCCGTGATACCCGAGTTAACGCTATCACGCCTGTTAAAACGCCGGCTATTAACGAGATAAGGACGAGATAAGATGAGATCAGACCTCCCATCTCGCCAGATAATCCCACTGGAACACATAATGCGCCTTGCCTGATTACCACAGGCACCACGCAGGGGGTGGAGGGAGGCAGGCTGGTTGGCGGGTGGGTTTTTCATCTCACCAAGTTGTGATTGCGGGGGTTGAGCTCTGGCTCTTTGGTCCCGCCTCTCATTTGGGTGGTTGGGTGTTAGATGGTGGGTGTGAGAGAAGGCGCGGGTGGAGGTGGTGGGTGTGAAGAGGTCGATCCAACATAGTTGACTGGTTGGTAGTGAATATGCAGTGGGTGCGTGGTGGTGAAGGTGGAATGGGTGGGTAGTGGTGAAGATAAAATAAGTCAGTGGAGGATGTGAAGTGGCTGAGAAACGGAGTTTGCAACACTACAAAAATATAATAATATAAAAAAATATAATAATATAATATAAAAAATATAATATAATATAAAAAATATAATATAATATAAAAAATATAATATAATATAAATATAATATAAAGATTATATAAACTATAATATAATTTATAATAATATATAAAATTACAATAGAAAAAATTTGAATAATCTGAATAAAATCCAATCACAACGCTTCTCTTTCGATTCCAGTACTGCCCCAAGAAATTTTTTTCACCCTTGTCTGAGAGTATCAAAGAGACGAGTGAAGGAGGAGGAGCACCATCCTACCCCTCCCCCCCCCCTATTTCCAGACTTTTGGAGACCGTCTTGAGAAACTTGTTGAGATAAGCAGACGACCAGTTTTATTTATCTGCCTGAGCCCTGGGAGATGGAGGGAGGAGATCTTCCGGTAGTTTGCTGTTGATGGTAAGATTGGTAAGGGGGAGGCTGGCTGTTGCTGCTGGTGATGGGAGGGAAGGGGAGAGGTGGTGGCGATGAGGGGAAATTTAGCGACGCTGGTAATGGAATAGAAGACGAAATGAGAGAATGAAAATATAGAAATGGGGATGGGAGAGTGCGCAAGGAGAGGTAAAAGAAGATGTACAAAATGTAAGGTTTTAGGTGAAGCAAGGTAGGTGACAAAGGGAAGGCAAGAGAATGATGATAAGGTGGTAAATGAGAGAAACGGAAAGAGGAGGTATGTTAGTGTACGTTAGCCAAGGGAGATATCAGAATTCAGGAGATCACGTGAACATCAACACACGCAGACCTGTGATCGACCACACACACACATACTAACAGAACGAGGGGACATGGGTGGAAGCTGGAAACTGAGATGAGTCACGGAGATGTTAGGAAGTTTTCCTTTAGCGTGAGTGTAGTGGGGAAATGAAATGCACTTGGGGAGCAGGTTGTGGAAGCAAACACTATTCATAATTTAAAAACTAGATATGATAGGGAAATAGGACCGGAGTCATTGCTGTAAACAACCGATGGCTAGAAAGGCGGGATCAAAGAGTCAATATTCGATCCTGCAGGGATAAATAGGTTAGTATACACACACACAAACTCACACACACACACACACACACACACACACACACACACACACACACACACACACACACACACACACACACACACACATATGCTGGGACCTATAAAATTTCTCATTTATGTTAACGAATTGACTGCAGGCGCGTTGAGTCTTATATATCGATGTTTGCAGATGATGCGAAACTAATGAGGGTTGAGACAGATGACTGCAAGATTCTCCAAAATGACTTGAACCGGTTGCACAGCTGGTCCGAGAAATGGCTGCAAGAGTTCAACACCAGCATGTGTATGGTGATGAAAATGGGATCAGGACTCAGGCGACTAAAAGGCCAATACACGATGAAGGGAAACTATCTCACTATAACGACTAGGTAAAAATATCTGGGAGTGGACATAATTCCAAGCCTGACTTCAGAGG